AGCTGTTGAGCTACCAACCAGCCCCAAAGGCTGTGAATCTCACCAAAGATTAACCAAATAATAATAATAATGATACTTTCCCCTTCCTTGTATTCTTACCCAAAAAATCTTGGTTAGAGTCTCATTCTCAGATTCCTGAATCTCATGCATTTCTTTCACATACCCTTCAACCTTTAGATTTTAGATTTAGATTTTATTAACATTTGTAGGCCGCCCTTTTCCCTGTGGGGACTCAGGGCGGCTCACATAAAATCAGGGAGGGGAAGTAAAAACAGTGACCTTTGCATTCCACTGATGAGTTTCATAGAATCAAAGAACCAAAAGGTTTGAAGGGAGTATGGAAGTCTTCAATTTCAACACTCTGCCTTGGGATCTCAGACCATCTTGGGCCAATGGCAGTCCAATCTCTTTTTTTAAATGTCCAGTGTGTAATAACTCTCAAGGTCAGAAAATAACTCCTTCTTTTGAGTTTTTGTTTGAATAAATTTACACCTGCTTCCCTATGATAGCCTTTCAAGTATTGGAAGACTGATATCATGCTTTGCCTTTGTCTTCTCTCCTTTAGGCTAAACATATTCAGTTCTTATAACCGAGACTCATAAGATCTGACCTCCAAGTGCTTCGCCATCTTTGTTGTTTTTCTCTGCAGTTTTTCTCTGCAGTTTTCATTTCCCAAACAACCTTTTTGCACCCATAATCTTAACATTACCCCATTGCTGATATAATCCAAATTTCATCCCTCAGTTGTTTCTACTAGATCACATTCTCTTTCCTGCATTAGTATTTCTTGGTTTTGCCTGTGTCCATATTTCCATTGGCAGTTTTTCACCATCATCCCCGTGATGTTTCATTTATAACTGAAATTGAATAATTTGTAAACAAATTTGAATGCAAGCTTCCGTCTCTCTCTACGAGAATGGGGTGAATAAAATTTCACCATAAGGTCCTCTTCCTGATTTTCTGGTTGTATAATTTTCATTAACTGAATTAGGAGCAGAGCTTTGAACTCTTGCAATTTGTTGTTGTAATGAATCCTCCAACCATGAGATCCATCTGTCTTATCCTGGGGCAATTTGCTGCATAGTTAATACATTGCTCCCACGGCTGCTTCGCTCGAGGTCATCCTGATGATATAACTGGTATTGGGAGTGAAAGAGAGACCAGTTTCCTTGGACTGAATCCAGAACTTTGCAAAGCTGGATGATCGCTAGCTAGGAATAGTACTCTAGTGATATACTCTGTCTCGTTTTTTCTGGCAGATAAGGTCACATTGTGGTGGTTTTCAGACTTCTCTTCTCCATATCTAATTAGTATTTTTAATTTAACACTCATCATCCATTGAAAAGGGTGGTTATTATCTGTAATACTGTATTTCAAAATGAGTGCTTAATGAAATGAAGCGGAGCATATATACTTCCTTGTAATTATTTCAGCAGCACGTAAAGAATAAGCACTTTGATTAATACTATGGTGATACTTATTTCTGTGTGGAAATGCATATGTAAAGGGAGATATATGGGGATGAACAGGTCAGACCTATTCTTCCTTGGGTCCCCATTGTTAGATTCCATACAGAAAAAATACTGGGATCCATATAGCAATAGCAATAGCGCTTAGACTTATATACCGTTTTACAGTGATTTACAGCCGTCTCTAAGCGGTTTACAGAGTCCCCAACAATCTGTGTCCTCATTTTATCCACCTCGGAAGTATGGACGGCTGAGTCAAGCTTGAGTCTGGTGGGATTTGAACTGCTAAATTGCAGGCAGCCAACAGTCAGCAGAAGTAGCCTGCAGTAATGCACTCTAACCATTGCGTCACTGAGACTCTTATAGCCCATTTGTTATCATATACTGTAGGTTAATTTAGGTTAACCTGTAGGCTACCACACACACCCCTCTTGATCTCTGCTTCCCAACCCATCCATCCTTTGTTGTCATATTGATGTATTCTCATTTTCTTGTTCATTGTTTTCTTGTTCTATTATTTTATTTCTGTTTTGTTTACACCTCTTTCCATTTCTTCCTTTTTATTGTTGGAAACCACCAAAAGAAGCCCCGGAGGTGTGATGGGTGCCAAATAAATGTAACAAATAACATTGTTAAATAAATAACATTTATTAACAAATTAAATAAATAAATAATTTTCCCCCAAACTAGTTCTAACATTAAAATATGCCAATGAGTTTAGGGAGCAAATATTACAATAATTAGCAAATGCGCCTTGCCTGTTTTCCTAAGCTTTGTCTTTCTGTGTGGAGGATAGAGTCCAGATGGACACAACCTCTTCTTATCTACCAATTGCTTTTGTACAGTCAGTTCTGTATCGAGAAGGAACAGAGGTATATCCTCTTGCTTATAGTGATAGTCCCATGATGGAGCACCTATGGCCACGCATGCCAGAGGTGGCACACAGAACCCTCTCTGCTCACCCCAGATCAGATTTCCATGGCGTTTCTTTCGTGAGCTTCTGTTTCCCTGCAAACAATGAAACAGAAGCTCACAAAAGAAAGAGATCTTACCTCTTGCCACACTGCCGGTGTTGGGATGCCCCACCTCCTGCTGGCCAGCCGGGCTTTGGGCCTCTGCTGCACACGCACATGTCCGCGCACGTGCTTGTTCACACATGTGCACATCATTCGCACGTGCGCATGCACCTTCCAATTTGGGCGTGCGCACCAGTGGTGGGATTCAAATAATTCAACAACCGGTTCTCTGCCCTAATGACCAGCTGAGTAGGTGGGACTCAGTGTCATGTGACTGGGAGGGCATGGCCAACTCAATGTCACTCACGTTGACGTGACAACCGGTTCTCCATCATACATCATCTCCGAACTGCTTAAAAGATTAACAACCGGTTCTCCCGAATAGGTAGGTGCGAGCCGGCTGGATCCCACCACTGATACGCAACCACGCAGTTTGGGCATTCAGTGTCTAAAAGTTTCGCCATCACTGTTATAGGCAATATATTATGTAGAGCTGCCCCTTTCTTGATCTCATCCTTTTAATTTGCTGAGTGGCAACTCTTCTAATTCTTAGTTACAATAACATTTCCCAGCCTGAAACCTGCCTGAGAATGCAGAGCAATGCATTTGGAAGGACATGAAGCAGAGAAATGATCTATAATATCTCAAAGAGTATACAATAACTCAGAAAATAGGAATTGCTTTTCTTGCCTAAAATAAATCCAGTCAAATGCTTGTCTTTTTGAATGATCCTGTGTATATATTCAAATTAAATTAGGTTTCTATTCAGGGTTTTTCTCATTGCAAAAGAGAAATGTTGGAATGTATCATTAAGCAATGGGATTCCAGATCCTTATTCCCAAGATCTAAAAATAAAGTAACCTGTTGAGATCTCTTTCTGAACAGGTGGTGGAGTTCTGTACAGTACTTTTCAGATCTCAGAAACTTTTTTGTCTATCCAAGGAGTCGGTTATAAATTGGCCTTTGCAGTCAGGTTGGCATCAGATGATATTTAGATAGTGTTGGACTAAACAAATTCTGTGATGGACCTTTGCCATAGATCTGTATTGATTTTATATTTTTTTGCTCTTTGCAGTCCTGCATATAAAGTTCTGCACAATGGCGAGATCAGTGAAATTATGGTGACTGAACAGCCTGTCCGGATTGGCATCCTGCTAGACTACAGTACTGGAAGACTCCTATTTCTCAATGCAGAAAGAGGGCAGTTGCTCTCTGCTATCAAGTACAGATTCACTAAAGCAGCTTATCCTGTTTTTGTACTGGAACAATCAGGGTTTCTCAACCTGCATACAGGCATGGAAGTACCAGAATTTGCAAAGCAAAGCTGAACATTTTCTTCTGAATCACATACAAATCAAAAAGAAAGAAAAAGAAGAATTTGGTAAAAAGACTTGAGATGGATTTTTCCCCTTTAAATGCAATGGCCATGATTCAGAGAAATACTCAGTCTTTGGTGGCCTCTGTAAGTTTTCCCTTCTATTCAGAAACACGACACAAACAACAAACAGGAACCCTGCAACGGTGGGGAACTTTCAAGAACAGATCACAGAAGCTCTCCTTAGGGAAAAAAAAAACTGAGAAGCTAACAGAGTACATGTAATCCATCCACAGGCCTGCAAGGTATTTGGATGGTGCCCAAAATCTTTCCCCCAGTTATTTCTATTCAGTGGAATCATGTGCTCAACGCTTGCAGAGAAATCCTAAATAGAATCTCACCACTTAACTATTTTTCATGCACTGTGTTGCAGGTATTGAATTACTTTCTGGAGGAAAAAATGTTTAGGTTACTATGTTAATATTAATGATATGTTAAAATAATGGATTAAATATCAAATATTAATATTAATTAATATACAAAGATGCGATATGCTCATGCACCACCTATTGACTGAAGGGTACTAGAAGCTTCTTTTTCATTAGTTCCTTGGTTTCAGGTCCAACACAACTGGAAAGACCAAGCAAGCAAGAACATACAGATTTCAGGAAGATATTTTTTAATGCTAAACAGAAGTAAACATGGAATTTTGGAAATGCAAATAAGAATTTTGACCTTCATTAACAGTGCATTAAAACCAGTCAAGCTTCTCTGAGAAATTTGAAATGCACCTTTTCAGATTCCTCTCCAGTTGTGCGTAGTGGGTTTATGTGATTTTTATTTATTCAAGACATTTATATAGCTGACCATGGGTAGTATGGTAGCCTAGAGGTGGAGCTCCCACCTCACAATCAAGAGGCTGTGAGCTGGATTCTAGGTAGAGGTAGATATTTCTCTGAGCGTAATGAGTAATTGTCTGCAAGCTCTGTATAGGCATCAGGAAGGGCATCCAGCCAATAAACGCTCAAACTCCATTCAGTGGCCTCATCTCCATTCCAATGCAAGGAATTACAGGGTTGTTCAGCCCAGTTCGGGCGAACCGGTAGTGGTGGTGGTGGGAGACTCTGCCCATTCGCCTGGACGCTTCTATGCATGTGCGTGAATCGGTAGTAATCCGGTTAGAAACCCACCATTGATAAATATACAGTATGTAAATATACTATGCTAGTCATTTCCAACTCTAGGGACGTTGCTCATCTCCGTTTCAAAGCCAAAGAGCCAGTGCTATCTGAAGACGATAGATAGATAAATAGATAGATGGATGGATGGATGGATGGATGGATGGATGGATGGATGGATGGATGGATGGGCGGGCAGGCAGGCAGGCAGGCAGGTAGGCAGATATCTGCTCATCTTTCAACCAACTTTGGCAGCTGTCAATCAAAAATTAGGTATCAATTGACTCCTCCATTGTCTCTTCATTGTTTATGTTGTGGATAGACCATCATGAAGAAAATCTATGTGGTTGCCAAGAGTCAGCAATGAATTGATCATACATCATTATCATCATCATCACCATCTCCATCTTCCATCTTTATCTCATCCATTGCTTCCTCAGCCTCCCCAAAAATCTCTCACAGTTGAAAATGAGTAGCCCGTTTAACAAGTACCCAAGTGCAGGGTTGGCTCTATTTTGGAGCAGCGGGAAGCAATTGAAGGGTAGGCAGCAGCAGTGACAACTTCTCAGCCATTCCTTCCAAGCATCCTTTTCTCTGGGAAAGTACAGTTGTATTTGTTTTATGCAGCCTATTCTGGGCCTCCTAAACGACTTTCCAGGCATGTTTACTTGAGTTTGGCAGCTAATCTATTATATATCTGTGCTTTTTAAAACATTCTTAACGTATATAATTAACAAAACAACCTTAAAAGTAAAAAAAAAAACACTTAGAAACCAAAAGAAAAGGGGGGAAAAACCTCTTCCAACTCTATATTTCTGCTTTTTAAATTTTTTGTAGCAAGTAAGGCTAAATTAAAAAGCTTTGGGGAGAAGTCAGATGTTTCCTAGGTACTGCATAGCTTATCCTCTTTAATCCTTGGAGCCTGAGCTGGAAAAAAAATAATGACTGTCTATCAAAGATAAACACTAATTTCCACTGTCAAGTAAGAGCAGAACCAGAATTCCACTCCTTTAAATGGTATTGATATCCAAATCAGGTGTACTGGTTTTTGTCCCAGGGGAAAAAAAAAGAGGTTGGTTCAATTCCAGCTTCACACCCTGGGGCACAAATGATATTCTTGCAAATGTGGAGACCAGAGGTTTTCATTTTCTTTACAGCTACCCTTCCTTGACTCCTGCAATTCTTGACAGGCCCCTGCAGCTGCTATTTAGTATGGAAACAAAATGGGCACGTTAAATATACCCAAGCTTTTTATATAACGCCATTTGGCCCTGCTCCGAGCTTTGGGATTTGGAGCAGAATATTTTGAAACTTTAAATTCTAAATGGGTCTTCTCACACACACACACACACAGACGTCAACCATTGACTAAGGCTAATTTTCAGTGCTGATCAAGGACTGTCTTCTGTTTCTATGTTCCAAATTTGCAATTCCAAAAAGCTGCCCAAACAACAGCAGATAGGATGGTGGTGCGCAGAGGTGGGTTCCTACCAGTTTGCACCTATTCAGTAGAACCGGTTCATCAAATCTACCGAACCGGTT